TCTGTCAGGTGCATAGGTATTCATATATTATTTAGTAACCCATTACCACACTAGAGGGCGGAAATATAGCGCTGTTCGCGTTGAAATTTTCCATGAGGATCCAGGTATGGTCAAGGACAACGCTTATACTTTTCGATTATGATCAGATAACAATATTGGGATATAGTGGACCGAAAACTTAATTTTTTGTTTTTTCGAGACGATCTATAGGCCTCAATTGAAATCCGAACATCACCACACAACCCATGGCGAAGGGAATCTGGACAAGTAATTAGAAGAGCTGTACTGACTATTAGTAATATTTGTTCACCCCTAGTCGGCCAATGGGTGGCAAATTGCGCAAAATATTGCCCAAACTCAGAATATCGAACCACAGGAAATTAGATTTTCGTAAGAGTGGGATATTTCGGTGGACTCAATGCTCTGAGAAAGTACAACATTACCGATACTCAACATACCCGAAATTAAGCGTTAAGAATTGTTTTTTTCACCAGGAATCTGGAATGCCAAATTGCAACGACTACGGTGGAAAAATTTCATAACATGAACCTATTTTGAAAAATTTATGTAAAGATGTTTTCACCCTACGTGAGCTCGTAACAAACAATTTCAATCTGTAAAAGTACCGAAAATTGTATATTGAAGATATTTCAAAGCATAAATATATATATACCCTCCAGGAAATTAAAATTATTGCCACAAAAATTCCGATAATGTCGTGTTACCGTTATATGGGAGATATGCACAAACTTAAGACTATACATACCATTCTAAGATTAGTTACAATATGTGTGCAGAATTTCAAAGTTCTATCATAAATTTTACAAGCCTTATCGTGATTTCAGTAGATAAATGAAAATGGTTAATCATGAAAGGACCCCACATCACTATTGCTGCTCTCTCGTAATCTTGAATCTATATGAAAAATATCCTTTAGATCGGGAGGACGTAGTATTTCGATGTAAATGTGAACCGAAATTTTCGAATTTTGTTATTATTTATATAAAACCAGAAGGGTCTTATACAAATCGTCTCGGTAAATTATCGCTTTGACTTTTTATCACTATTATTTATTTTTTTAATTTGAAACAATTGATTGGTAGGTTATAAACATTGTCAATATTTGTCAATTTCCAATATAATTTTTTTCATTGTTTTACCAAAATGCCATAAGGACGACTCCAGAAAAAAACTTTATTTATTTTTATGGTTTTATATTTAATCCCCCTTAACCTTGCTCTTTCCTATCATAATCTACAACAGTATAACCATTACTCGTTTAATAACATGATTTGTTTGGTTTTTTATATAAATAAATATCTAACGACAAACATTTATTGAATTGTTTTGTTACTACTACCACTACTAACAATGCTCGTTACAATAAAAAATATACAATAACGAAGAACCCGAAGAGAAATTGCCAACAAAAAGCCATTTTCCAAATGAAGTAATGCTGCTCATGAAATCACATATGAATACAAAAATAAAATACTTGATGTGACAAAGTATTTGTGAGAGGATTCTGTAAAAATTTCATTTTTTCTGTAAATATTTGAATTGAAACAAAACTGCAAAGCAAAGAAGAAACTACATGATTTTTCGTTACAATTATTTCTTCAAAATAGAATAAAAAAATGTTTTATGTTTGGTTAAGCTGTTGCAATGTTTAATGTAATAAAAACAAAAAATAATAAAAGAATCTTGTAGAAAAGCACGAAAATAAGCAAAAAATCTAAACAAAAAAGAAACATGCCACAAAACGCACCTAAAGCTTAACTCAAAACATACAAAAAATAAAGCAAATGCAAAACAACACCTGAAACTGTTTAACACCCACTCGATATATGTGTGTGCGTGTGTTTGTATCTGTCTATTTGTGTCTATAAATGTTTTACTACTACTACTACAACAACTTTTGTTGGCCTTCCACCATTACGAAGCAGCCAACCAAAATCACCTTCACCCAAAACTGATTCGCTGTGAACAATTTGTGAATTGATCAAAGGATTGATTACGTATTTTTGTTGTAATGATTTTCATTTTTTGTTTTGTTTTTTTTTTCTCCTATTTCAGAATATGTTTTGTTGCTGTTGGTTGTATTTTATTTTTTGTGTTTCGTTTTTTTATTGAAATAAAAACTGAAGAGTATTTAGTATTAAAAAAAGACAAATACAAAAATGTAAAACAGAAGTTGCTTTCAAAGCATAAAAAATAAATATATATTATTTTTTACGTTTTTATTTTTAATCATGACTGTGGAATCGATTTGCAAAATAATTCGACTTAATGATGGCATGGAGTGTTGAGATTTGAATAGTTTTTATTTCATTGGATAGGAGAACTGAAATCGTTAAAGCAGTAAGTGAATGAGCAGCCGTGGAAGGATTTAAGCGTGGACTTTATGTATATATATCGTGAGTCCGTGAAAATCGGTATATATATACCGATTTTCAGAACCATATATATATACAAAAATTCGGCAAATCGAAAGATATATGGACTTTGGTACACCCTTTCCATTAAATTCGGACAAAAATATATATGGGAGCTATATCTAAATCTGAACCGATTTTCACGAAACTTGGCACGCTTCACTCCACGCTCAATTCAGTACGCTATGCAAAATTTCGTGCAAATCGAAATATATATAGGAACTTTGGTGCACCATTTTCATTACATCGGACTACAATGTATATGGGAGCTATATCTAAATCTGCACCGATTTTCACGAAACTTGGCACACATCACTCCAAACGCAGTTCAGTACGTTATGCCAAATTTTGTGCAAATCGAAAGATATATAGGAACATTAATGCACCATTTCCATTAAATCGGACAAAAATATATATGGGAGCTATATCCAAATCTGAACCGATTTTCACGAAACTTCGCAGACATCAGTCTAGGCTCAATTCAATACGTTACGCCAAATTTCGTGCAAATCGAAAGATATATAGGAACATTAATGCACCATTTACATAAAATTGGACGAAAATATATATGGGAGCTATATCTAAATCTGCACCGATTTTCACGAAACTTGGCACACATCACTCCAGATGCAGTTCAGTACGCTATGCCAAATTTCGTGCGAATCGAAAGATATATAGGAACTTTGGTGCACAATTTCCATTAAATCGAACGAAAATATATATGGGAGCAATATCTCAATCTGAACCGATTTCCAAGAAAATTGACACACATCACTCCAGATGCAGTTCAGTATATTTCGTGCAAATCGAAATATATATATGGACTTTAGTGCACCATTTCCATTAAATCGGACGAAAAGTATATATGGGAGCTATATCTAAATCTGAACCGCTTTTCACGAAACTTGGCACGCATCATTCTAGACCTAATTCAGTACGTTATGTCAAATTTCGTGCAAATCTAAAGATATATAGGGACTTTGGTGCCCCATTTACCTTAAATCGAACGAAAATATATATGGGAGCTATATCTAAATCTGAACCGATTTTCACGAAACTTGGCACGCATCACTCCATGCTCAATTCAGTACGTTATGCCAAATTTCGTGCAAATCGAAAGATATATAGGAACATTAATGCACCATTTCCATTAAATCGGACGAAAATATATATGGGGGCTATATCTAAATCTGGACCGATTTTCACGAAACTTGGCACGCATAACTCCACGCTCAATTCAGGACGTTATGCCAACTTTCGTGCAAATCGAAAGATATATAGGGACTTTGGTGCCCCATTTACCTTAAATCGGACGAAAATATATATGGGAGCTATATCTAAATCTGAACCGATTTTCTTGAATTTCCATAGGATTCGTCCTTGTGACTTGTGCCAAATTTCATCCAAATCGGATCATAAATGCGATCTGTTCTCTGTTTACAATTTAACATCTACAGGCGGACGGACGGACGGACCGACGAACATGCATAAATCGACTTAAAAAGTGATTCTATGCATATTCTCGAAAGGAACATCGTTCCTCTATCTCGTTTCCTTTTGCCTGTTACAAACATATACACAAAGACGTAATACCCTGTACTACAGTGTGGTGATGGGTATAAAAAGAGCCGATTTTTTAAAAAGGGTGGATTTTTTATTTTCATCATGAAGCGTAGTTTTGAAAAATAAAATTAAGGTTCACCAAGAAGGGTAAATTTTTTAAAAATTTTTTTTCTAGGTATATCCCTAAGAGAAGATTTCTTAAAATATTTTTGAAAGGCCTATAAAAATTGTCGTCTTCAAATATTTTTAAATTATAGCTATATAATCTCAACTCCAAAGAAATATGTAACTCGATTCTGCAATCCGGATTTTACAATTTTAAAACAAATTAATGCTTACTATGTATTTATTTTACAATTTTCCCCAATATTATTTTAATCTTAAATATTTTCTTTTTGTAATAAAATAAAATGTTTTTTGTTTTCATTTCTCGTTTAATTCGATGTTGTGACGTACAGTTCGTGTATGATTCGTTGTTAATTGGATGCATGTTTGGCATTAAATAAAAAAAATTAAAAAAATAATTAAAAAAAAAAAAACAAAATTAAATGTTCCCTCTTTTTACTCTCGCAAAAGCAAAAAATTTACAAAAGACTAAAATGAAATTGCACGAAATTTATGTGTGTATGTCAGTGTTTAAAATTTTCTTTTTTATATTTCTTTATTTAAGTTTTTTAATATTTTAATTTTTCTACATTTAATTTCATTAATTTTTAACAATTTATTTTCCTTTTTTTTGAAAATTTTTCTTCAATTTTTCTCTAACACACTCACACACCAAAGAATGACCAACTAATAAATGTTTTTCTCTTTTTTCCTCCCATTTTTTGTTTTTGTTCAAATGACAAACCCGCAATAACCACGACCCCTATCTGGTGGTTTGAATAAAAAAAAAACAAAAACACAATTTTGTTATGATTTATTTTCGCCATGCTGCTGATGCCTGCCCTCCCCAAAATATACTCCCGATGATGGTGATGATGATGATGATGACGATAACAGGACTTTACATTGGATTTTTACTTCCGTCAATTTTGGACCGATCCTCGTTTAGCGTATAGAAAACGACCTGGTGTAGAAACACTATCGGTTGGATCAGAGTTCATTAAAAACATTTGGGTACCTGACACCTTTTTCGTAAATGAAAAACAATCATATTTTCATATTGCAACAACCAGTAACGAATTCATACGTGTACATCACTCTGGATCGATAACAAGAAGTATTAGGTAAAACCAATCAACAAACCACAGCAATCATTAACTTGAACAGAATTTAAACAAAAACCGAACCAAAAAAAAAACATAATAAAAGAAACACAACTTAAATTGTCCCCCCAAAAAAATAAAACCCCCCTTAAGAAATACCAAACCCCAAACCTCCACTAAAATAACAAATAAACCTTGGTCCCAAGGGGCCAAAGTCTAAATGAAAACCAATTTGAATGAATGTCGTATTTTAAAAATTTGCTACCATGTAAAATTTATTGTCTACTATTGTATAACTTACTTAAATGTCTGTCTTTCTGTCGAAAAACAAATTGTTTTTTTTTTTTATTTTCGAGTTTTTCATTATGCATTTGCCATATTTTCATTTCCATTCAATATTTTATTTAAATATTCATGTATCAAAAATTCAGTTATTATTCGATTGCTCTATCTATCTCTTTCTATCTGTCTGTGTGTCTATCAAAGTTGCTCTTAAATTTTTCATATGTATGTATATGTGTATGTATGCGCAATTAAAAATTTGTTGCAAAAAAAAAATTCCAAGAATCAAAATTTTGAAACTTATTGATGTTGTTGTCTGTTTGTATTTCTTTCGAAATTCTAATTCATTCTAGTTTTTCATAGCTCATATTCATATTAATTATTTATATAACAACAAAAAATACGAAAAACTATATATACCCAAAAGCTTTAAGCTAAACATTTTATTATATTTATTAGGAAAAACAGTAAGGAAAATAGTAACGACAAAAATATATATGGGAGCTAAATCGAAATCTGGACCGATTTTCAGGAAACCTAACATACATCATTCTAGACCTAATTCATTACGCTGTGCCAAATTTCGTGCAAATCGAAAGATATATAGGGACTTTGGTACACCATTTACATTAAATCGGACGAAAATATATATGGGAGCTATATCTAAATCTGGACCGATTTCCAGGAAACTTAACGCACATCTTTCTAAACCTAATTCATTACGCTATGCGAAATTTCGTGCAAATCGAAAGATATATAGGGACTTTGGGGAACCATGTAACTTAAATCGGACGAAACTATGTATGGGAGCTATATCTAAATCTGGACCGATTTTCTCGAAACTTGGCACACACCCTTCTGGACCTAATTCAGTACTTTATGTCAAATTTCGTGCAAATCAAAATATATATAGGGACATTGGTGCGCCAATTACTTTAAATCGGACGAAACTATATATGGGAGCTATATCTAAATCTGAACCGATTTTCTCGAAACTTGGCACACATCATTCTGGACCTAATTCAGTACTCTATGCCTAATTTCGTGCAAATCGAAAGATATATAGGGACTTTGGTGCACCATTTAACTTAAATCGGACGAAACTATATATGAGAGCTATATCTAAATCTGAACTGATTTTCAGGAAACTTAGCACACATCATTCTAGACCTAATTCATTACGCTATGCACAATTTCGTGCTAATCGAAAGATATATAGGGACTTTGGTGCACCATTTTACTTAAATCAGACGAAACTATATATGGGATCTCTATCTAAATCTGAACCGATTTTCTCGAAACTTGGCACACATCCTTCTGGACCTAATTCAGTACTTTATGTCAAATTTCGTGCAAATCAAAATATATATAGGGACATTGGTGCGCCAATTACTTTAAATCGGACGAAACTATATATGGGAGCTATATCTAAATCTGAACCGATTTTCTCGAAACTTGGCACACATCATTCTGGACCTAATTCAGTACTGTATGCCAAATTTCGTGCAAATCGAAAGATATATAGGGACATTGGTGCACCAGTTAATTTAAATCGGACGAAAATATATATGGGAGCTATATCTAAATCTGAACCGATTTTCTGGAAACTTAACATACATCATTCTGGACTTAATTCAGTACTTTATGTCAAATTTCGTGGAAATCGATAGATATATAGGTAATTTGATACACCATTTACATTAAATCGGACGAAAAAATATATATGGGAGCTATATCTAAATCTGGACCGATTTTGCCCAATTTCAATAGGGTTTGTCCTTGGGCCAAATAAGTGACCTATGACAAATTTCATCCAATTCGGATCATAAATACGACTTGTACTTTGTTTACAATTTAACATAGACAGACAGACAGTGATTCTATGCCTATTCTCAAAAGGAACCATGTGTCTATCTCGTTTCCTTTTGCCTGTTACGCCTTTAGCTGGTAACTGAAATAATTATTTTTAAACATTCCGCACTTATTGGTTGTGAATGGAGAAATATTTTTATAAAATCCAGGTCTATAAATGGTTACAATAAATATTTTTTAAGCCAAATACACGAAAATGTTTAAATATTGAAAAAAATCAACTGAAAAAAAATATTTTATAAACAAATATACATATTAAGTTTTTGGGTATATATCTATAAATCATATACAAAATTTCTGCACTGCATCATACCATTTAGTAATCATCATATTTATAAAAAAGAAAACCAAACACCTCTCCCCATTACATACAATTTCACATCACCACAAAAATAAATAAAAAAGTGAGTTCAATTGGCTTTATTTTAATTTCCTTTTAATCACAGCTAAATATATTTACTCTTGGTATAGAACATCTAATAAAACGATTAGCCCTTACATTATTAAAAAAAAAATCATCAATATACAAGAAAAACGATACAGCAAGCTTCCAATAACAACAACAAAAAGAAAATTATATGAATTTCCAATTAGAAATCGTAACTCCCCCACGCCATAGAAGGCCTTCCCGTTACATGTCGTTGGCATTATATCGAAGCATGTTCATATACAAAACAAAAAACAACAACAACAAAAAACCGAAATAGTTATCTACCTATCTAACGTTCTCAGTCTTCCTACCCCTCCAAACTATGTTAACGATACAACACCATTTCATAGCAAAGTACTAATACAAAAACAATAATAAAGAAATAATAGGGAAAATCGTTTTTGAAAAAAAAAACACAAGAAATGCTATTTTGTGTTTTTTCTACACCGTCAAAAGGTTTGCTCAATGAAGAAATTTCTTCCATATAGGGAGAAAACAAAAGGAAATTTCTTCGATTTGTAATTTTTTCTACTACCTTAAAACAAGAATCTGTCCAAAAATACAAACCAAAACCCATACAACTACAAACCAACACCAAGGATTTTTCAAGCAGCGAAACCGCAAAAAGAAAGAAAAAAAAATGTTAAGCTTAAAATCGAAACTCGGCGTAAGTTCTTGTTCTCGGCGAAATGTAAGTACCAAAACCAAAAATTTCAGCTACCAACAAAATTACGAATTTAAGAATGTTCGACAAACACCCTGCGAGTGTAATAGACAAGTATCGTTAGATAACAAAAAATTATTAACAAATTGCAACGTTTTTCATTTCTAAGTGCAACAAAAAAATATAATAACCAAGGCTTCATGCGTAGTATTTTTTAATGTTCTCTACACTCTTTGATAAGAAATTCGTAAGAGTTTTTTTTTTGTATTTGTATTTTGTTAATTCATTACTTTATTAATCATTTCACCAATTGAACTCGCTGAATACTCGTTACATTTTCTACTCTTCAAAACTTTCTTTACTCTCTTTCTGTCCGTCTTATCTATAAATATAAATGTATATGTTTTTTCTCTTTATAAATAAAAAAACAACAATATATAAAAAATATGTACATATTTATGTAACTAAATATAATTTATAAACAAAATACATATGTGTGTGTGTGGCACACCATAAAAGTTTGTTTTCACACAAGCTGATTGTCCTTTAAGTTTATTTTTTGTTTTTGTAACTTTTGTGTAAAAGGTTACAAGTCCCACCCATACACTTAAATGCTTTTGATGTTGTAGCCACACACTCTCTCTTTGAGATTTATTGAAATTCTCCTTCTCTCTCTTTTTCTTCTCTTGATTACAGCGATTAATTACTGTATTTTATTCACTATATTGAGTAATCAATTATTCTCCTCCTCTCTCTGTCTCCCTTGTAAATCTAGATTAACAATTACAGCATCCTGCCCCATGAATCTACAGTACTTCCCCATGGATCGTCAATTGTGTCACATAGAAATTGAAAGCTGTAAGTACATAATTTTAATATTACATTGCTATTTGATATTTATATATACATATACATAAATATTATCCTCACTAAAGAGTAAAAAAAAATAATCTACTCTATATAACTCTACCCACTTATAAATTGTATAAAAAAAAAAACAAAATATTTTTTTTTAACAGAATATATATGTACAGATTAATTTAGTTTTAAGTAAGCAAGAAAAAACCAAAAAAAAAACACTTGAAAATTAAGAGATTTTTTATATATAAAACATATATTTATATTAGAACAAAACACCTCATTCAGAATATAATTATTTTTTTACATTAAGGGTCTCATGGCATTCAAAGGAAAGTCCTAGGGGAAATATTTGAAATTAAATAAAAGAAAATAAAACAATAAAATAAATTTTTAATTTAAAAAAATTAAGTAAACATTTTAAAAAATACAAATATGGACATTTAAAAAGATTGTTTAAAAATCCTCTCTCAGAGATGGACATTAAAAAAATTGTACCAAGAGACGGACCCTTAAATAATATGAAAAAAATCATGATTAGAGATGAACATAAACAATTTTTTTTCAATAATCCATTCTTAGGAGCGAACCTTGAAAAATATTTCTAAAAAATCCTCGCTTATTCTTTTTAATCCAAGCTTGGAGATGAGATTTTTAAATTCTCGTCCATCTATAAGGACGTTGAAAAAAAGATTTTTGAAAATCCGCGCTCTGAGGATATACCCACGTTTACACATGGTACTAAAAAATACTTTTGAAAATTCCACGCTTAGGTATGGACGTCGAAAAAATATTTTAAAAATTCTCGCTAAGTTATGGACACTGAAAAAAATATTAAAAAATAAAGCTTAGATATCGACCTTGAAAAAAATATTTAAAAAATCAAGCTTAGATATGGATCTTGAACGCTTGAAGATAGGCAAAATATTGAAAAAAATTAGGGCTTTGCTTGAAGATAGACAAAATATAAAAAAAAAATAGTTTTAAAAAAGACAAAATATTTAGGGCTTTGAGATAGAAGTTAAAAAAAGGTTTTACAAAATCCACGCTTCGAGAAGGATCTTAAAAAAAAGGTTTTACAAAATCCACGCTTCGAGAAGGATCTTAAAAAAATATTTTTAAAAAATCCACGCTTCGAGAAGGATCTTAAAAACAATATTTTTAAAAAAACCCAATTTAGCGAAGGATCTTAAAAACTGTTTTTAAAAATCCACGCATATAAGAGGGACTTGAAAAAATATTTTTAAAAAATCCACGCTTCGGAAGGATTTAAAAAAATATTTTTTTCAAAACTCCACGCTTTGAGAAGGATCTTAAAAACATATATTTAAACTAGTGAGCGAAGCAGTATAGTCGCACGGGGCCGACCATACGATACCCTACAAAACTTCCACGGAACTCTAACATTCTGCGGATTTTTATTCCGAGCCTAGGCAACATTTCGTGATAGTTTCACCCTTCTTGCCTGATTAGAGGTACACAGCACCTCTTCCTTACACTGACATATTTTCCGTATATTACTAATATTCAATACTGTTCTTCTAATTACTTGCCTATATTCTCTTCAACCTGGGTTGTGTTGTAATGTTCGAAAAAATCCAAAAATGTTTAGTTTTCGGTCTACTTCATCCCAAAATTATTATCTGATCGTCACCGAAAATTAAAGGCGTTGTCCTTGACCATAAGTGGAACCTCATGGAACATTTCAAAGCGATCAGCGCTATATTTTCGCCCTCTGGTGTGGTAATGGTTTACTAAATAATATCTGAATATGTAAGCACCTGTAAATATTTACGTGTAACTCCACACATCCGAGTACATACGACAATATAATTGGCATCAATTTAAAGGCCAACTACTCCTCTTGGATATACTATCAACTTCTCGGCTCTATGTCCTTCAGGAATAAATATATACGCCATACAATATTTTTTTTTATTTTTCACACAAAAATCAGGGTCCATTTGACTCTCTAAATATTGACCGATCTTTATCAAAACAGGCATGCTTATTCTTTGACCCAATCCCCTTCTCCATGTAAAAATTCGAGATGTTTGGGCAATAATTGCGGCCTCTGGAGCGACCAGAAAAACCGACAAAAATTCAGTATTCGGTCCATTTCATCCCCTAAATATTAACCGATCTTTACCAAAAAGATCATTGGGCCGAACCCTTCCTACATGCAAAATTTCGTGTAGATTGGCCCATAACTGTGCCCTGTATCGTGTTTACAAATTATAATGGACAGACGGACGGACGGACACACATGTCTAGATCGATTCAGCTAGATATGACAATCGGTATACTTAAAGGTGGGTCTAGGACCAATATTTCGCGGCGTTACAAACTCTTGGGGCTGCACAAAGCTATAATACCCAGACAACATAGTTGTGTATGGTATAAAAATCCTCTCTCAGAGATGGGCACGTCTCTCTCAGAGACGAACCCTTAAATAATATTTTTAAAAATTCATTCATGAACATAAAAAAATGTTTTTCAAAAATCCGTTCTTAAAAAGTCTTCGCTTATAGGAGGACTTTTAATTTTTTAATTTAAAAAATAAAGTAAAAAATATTAAAAAAAAAACAAATATGGACCTCCAGAAAATATTTTTAAAAACTCCTCTCTCAGAGATGGACACGTCTCTCTCAGAGACGGACCCTTAAATTAAAAATTCAGGACATTATAAACATATTACAACAAATCCACTGAGATTATAAAAATATATTTTTTATAAAATATTTCTTATTACTTTGAAGAACAAACGTTTATTTGTTTTGTGAAAAAATATTCAAATATTCCCCAAATTTTTATATTAAAATATGATTAAGAAAACAAAATTAAAAATTAAATCACATGGAATTCTTTTGAGTGCTATTATTGACCCACATATATATTATAATACATCTCTATATATAAAAACGCGCTGTTTGTTCGTTAAATGAAATATTCTTAAAAACAATAATTATGACTATAGCAAAATAACAAAACTCCAAAATTGGAGAGAATTTTAATTCCTTTTTGTTTGGAAATAACTAAACAAAAAATAATAATAATAACAACAGCTTTTTTTCTAACCTGGCACTTTATATATATACATATTTTTATATAAACAATATTTATATAAAAAATCCACTGCTTCTTACAAACAAAATAATTTAATATTTAATCAGCTACGACAATCAATGCTATTAGATCATGTAAAATAGAAAACCAAAAAAGAAAACCTACAACAACAAAAGTTTAGGACCGAAATTATTGACTAGCAAATGTGTATAGGAAGAGTTGTGTGAAACAGAAGTATTTAGTTTTTTATTTAAAAAACATTTTTTGTTTGTTTTTTGATTACACACATATTTGATTTTGAACGCCCTCTATATATATATGAAAAACCAACAACAACACACAAATTCCTTTTCCACCCAAAAAATACAAATATCAACAACCCCCTAAACACCACAAAATATGCCGACCACAACATCTACTGAAATAAACATAATATTTCAAAACAAAAATAATAATTATTCCAATTAAAAAAATTAAGTTTTTTTCTTTGGAAGACCAACGCCTACATTAAACCCCTTAATAAAGGTGTTGGTTAAATAATTGGTTTAACTACCACACACACACATATAATATATGTCAACATACATTTCATTGTGTTCATTAAACTAAAAAAAAATATTTACGTTTCAAAATTTGCATCGGATTTGAAACAAAACAAAAAATACAAAACCCCCAAAAAACTAATAAATAAACATTGCACTAAATCATCCATTAAAATGCATTAGCAGGGACTGGGAACCGAACAATATATGATCGATTCGAAAATAAACTCAAAATTACCATTTTCACATTTATTTCATTTTTTTCTTCTTTTGATTAATTTTGTTTATTTTTTTAAATAAAATAACATTCTTAACCTCATTATTCTCTTATTCTCTGTTTGCAAATAAACATTGAATAAGATTTTTAATTATTTTTTTGTTTTTTTTTTTAAATATATACATTTTTCTTTAAATAAATAAACAAAAAATTGGTTGGTTTTCGGTCGCCTTCTCTACTACAGCAACCGCAGAAGGTTGATTCTTTAACAATCAAAGGACTTTCGAAACGTTGAGAGAAGTAAAAAAGGACGTTTTTATTTGTTCAGAAAAGAAAAAAAAAAACCCAAACTGCTTTTGCTGGTAAATTAAAACAAAATAAATAAATCAATTTTTTTATATTAAAGGTAGAATTCTTTTCAACTTTGAGTTCAATTTTTTATTATTTTTTATGAAATGAAACAACACATTTTCATCGAAAATATCCGTAAAGAGGAGAAGAGTTGTATGGGAACGAATTCTATATTTATTTCAAATATATATTGAAAGGTGCTCTTGAAAAAATTAAAAAAAAAAATCAGGCGAGATGTTCCCTAAAAACATTTTTTAAAAAAGTCCTCGCTAAGAGATGGATTTGAACAAATATTAAAAAAATGATCGAAAAAATATTTTACAAAAATCCACGCTTTGAGATGGATTTAAAAAAAATATTAATAAAAAGGCTTGAAAAAATATTAAAAAAAAAATCCAATTAAAGTCGGGCGGGGCCGATTATATGATACCCTTCACCACAATGGCATATTCATATAATCCTAACAGATGTCGAATTTTTGAAGGACCATTAGAATGAAAATTTTTCATGTGGTCAGATATAGGGTTGCTTCTAACAATGGGGCACAATTATGTATATATATATATAAGCTATACCGAAATCAAAACCGATTTCAAATTTTTGTGCCGATTGGACCCACCTTGTTAAATCATTTATATCCAACTTCTAGATTATACGAACTTCAGTATGTTGTGAAAAATGTGTGTAAATTTTGTGTCAAATCGGACGAAAATATATATGTAGAAGCTATATCAAAATCTGAACCGATTTCAATGAGACTTACCAGAGATTAACTACAGTCCATTGTGCAGAATTGTGTGGCAATCGGACACACAAAATCACAGTTTACATAAAATCGGAAGAAAATATATATGGGAGCTATAAATCTCTAAATCTGGACCGATTTTCAGGAAACATAATACACATTAACCCACATATCTAAATCTGGACCGATTTTCAGGAGTCTTAGACTTAATTCAATACGCTGTACCAAATTTCGTGCATATATAGGGAAGGATATATGGGACTTTGGTACACCATTTACATTAAATCGGACGAAAATATATATGGGAGCTATATCTTAATCTGGACCGAATTTCCCGAAACTTGACACACATCACTCTAGACCTAATTCAGTACGCTGTACCAAATTTCGTGCAAATCGAAAGATATATAGGGTCTTTGGTACACCATTTACATTAAATCGGACAAAAATATATATATGGGAGCTATATCTAAATCTGGACCGATTTTCAGGATACTTAACACACATCATTCCAGACCTTATTCGGTACGCTTTGCCAAATTTCGTGCAAATCGGACTAAAATATATATGAGAGCTATATCTAAATCTTGACCGATTTTCAGGAAACTTAACACACATCATTTTAGACCTAATTCATTACGCTGTACCAAATTCCGTGCAAATCGAAAGATATATAGGAACATTGGTACACCATTTACTTCAAATCGGACGAAAATATATATGGGAGCTATATCTAAATCTGAACCGATTTTTCCCAATTTCAATAGGGTTCGTCCTGGGGCCAAATAAGTGACCTATGCCAAATTACATCCAATTCGGATCATAAATGCGACCTGTACTTTGTTAACTATTTAACATGGACAGACAGACGGATGGACGGACATGCATAAATCGACTTATAAAGTGATTCTATGCGTATTCTAAAAAAGAACCATGTGTCTATCTCGTTTCCTTTTGCCTGTTCAAACATATGCACAAAGACATAATATCCTGTACCACAGTGTAGTGAAGGGTATAAAAATCTATGCTTAGATATGGGACTTTGAAAAAATATTGCGGTTGACTTGAAAAATAATTTAAAAAAAAGCCACGCATTGTGGTTGACTTGAAATTTTTTTTTAAAAAAATCCACGCCTTGTGGTTGACTTGAAAAATATTTTTTAAAAAATCCACGCATTGTGGTTGACTCAAAAAGTAATTTTTAAAAATTCATTCTTTGTGGTTGACTTGAAAAATATCAAACATTTTTTAAAATATATTTTTTAAAAAAATCTACACTTAGAGATGGGCTTTAAAAAATATTTTTAATAAATCCACGAACTATTTAAACAATTTTTGTATTCAAAAGATAATTAAGAAATCCAACAACTCTTTTCCTCTGCTTCACATTTACTCCTAAACATTAAAAAAAACATTTTCTTTAGTAAAAAAACTCAAACCAAACCAGTTGCAAAATCGTGTTTTATTTTTTGCTTTTGTTTTTTGAAGGATTTGCAACCAACCAAACAAGGTTTCTTTTCAACATTTGTAAAAAAAAACTGCAGCAACAACAAATACAACAACAACACATTCAGTCAATAACATCATCAATCGCATATACATATATACACAGACACCTTCATTCTCTCCCCCGTCCTATACGTCATTGTCATTGAAACATCAATAAAAACTATGCACAGAACATTTTTTTCGTCATCTCTCTTTTTTCTTCATTATTTTTGAACGTTTCATAAAAGCATTTAATCACCGCACCATTAAAAAAATACATGTACAGTACAATAACAACAACAACAAACAGCTAAAAAAACTAACACCATTATCCTCTTAACATTTGTATTCATTTATTCTCACCACGACCACCAGCATCACATATCTATCACGCTCACTGTAAAAAAAATATACAATTTTTTTTAGACCAGACTCGAAGCTGTTGTTATAAGCCAGTGGCAGCTGGTTAAAAAAAAAGTGAGAACTATATAAATAGTGAAATGCGCTCATATATCAGTCAGTCACTCAGTCACCACAAATCACCAACATCACCATATATTATTTATATATTAATTTAATTTTTTTTCTATGACCTTTAACAGGCTTTCGATTTTGGTTTTAAGTTTTATTTAATTATTTTAATTTATAAAATTATAAAACAATCACATAATATTTAAAATATTTTTTTTTCAAACTGCATTTAACTAAAAAAAAATTAGATATCAATATCAAATTTATATAACAACAAAAAAATATCAAATACATAAATAAATATGTAATGTAATCAATCATCTAATCGAACACAGCCCATACTCTGTGTGTTTGGTGTGTAAAATATATATTTTTTATAATTTTTATTTTTAATGCATATAATTTATTTTTTTCTATAACAAACACTTAACGCTCTCAAAAAAAAAACAAAATTAATTAACAACATTAAAACAACTTATATAAATAAATTTAATTAACACCAAAAAAAAGAAAAATTAAATTCGGATTTAAATGTCATTTTATATTGTTATACTTTTTTTGTCAATCAAATGTCTATCCATCTGTGTGTGTGCGTGCGTGCGTGTTTTGTGCGCTTGCGTGCGTCCAACACAATACCACGATTGAAACAATTGAACACACTCCTCTTCTTCCCAAAAACAAACCAAATCGAATCGAATCAAACCAAATGCTATAATGAACACGAACTCAAAATCGAATGCTTGATTGTTGCCCCCCACACGCACACAACTTTCAAAAGTCGGTTACACGATGAGAGATATCCGTTACTTCTGGAAAGATGGACTGAGTAGTGTTGGCATGAGCAGTGAGGTCGAACTACCGCAGTTCCGCGTCTTGGGACACAGGCAGAGGGCGACCGAAATAAACCTAACCACAGGTACCCTCCATTAAAACAATTTTCAAAAATAACAAAAACAAAAACTAAAAAGGCTTTATTGTTGTTATTATTTTCTAATTTCAGTTTTGTTTTGGTTTTCTTTCTCCTTCTATGTGAAAAGGAAAAAAACATTTTTATTAAAACCATAATTCATTATTGTTTTGTATTCTTTTTTATTATTATTATTTTATCAAACAAATTTCCTTTACATGTATATCATTTCCTACTTCCATCTAATTAATAAAAACAACAACAACAAAAATTAACGTCCCACCAAGCAAATCTCAAACACATTCATTCACCAAATCATTATTGAACATAAATCATTAACACAAACAAAATGTTCTCGTTTAACTTCTCTTTGCTACAACAAAAAAATAATTACAACAAATCTATCACCAACAACACTTCAACTCACCACCACAACCAAAAGAAAAAAAATGGCAAAGAAGGAAGTAACCACCAGCCCCAAACCACCACCCACCACTTTATTGTCTTTTGTTAATGAATTCTTTGTTTATTTTTGGTTCCCCACTCTCCCAAAATCTCACCACCACCACTAGCCACCTCCTCCGCCCCAACAACTCTTAACTTGAAGAACCAAGAAAACATAATTGTCCAACAGTTTCCGTTTCCGTTTCCTGTTCTTTTTGTATTTTTTATTTACTTATTACTTGTATCAGAATTTCAGTGTCAAGCACTTATTTTCTCTTAAGTTTTTTTTTCGTTTTTTATATAAACAAAAAAAAAATAATAATTTAAATGAAATGTAGCACAGAATAAGAAAAACAGCAACAACAACAGTAGTAGTATTTCAGTGCGTATGAAAAAAACAAGAATCGCACACTGAAATAATTCGATTTTTTGCTGCCCAACTTATCCGCAGCTTAAAATCTCCCCCTTGTCTTTTTTATTGAAATGTGCCATCGTTCGAAATGAAAGGATTTAGTTTATAACTAATATACTTGTCGTTCTCATATATGAATTTTATAAAAAAAGAAAAAAACAACAACAACAAAACGTCAATGCTGCAGTTTGCTTGGGTAGGTTGTTCTCCCCTCTCTTCTTTAAAGAATAAAAAGGGTGTTCCAATATTTGGTTGGTTGTACATATTTGATTTCTAAAGAAATAACCTTTTGAATAGTATTACCGAAGTTTTTATTTCGGTTCAAATGGACCTAATTTTTATTAAATACAGTCACCCTATATAACATTCAAATATTTATAGCCAGTCTTTTAAGGGTCCTCATCTCACAAAAAATCGAATCAGTTTATTATCATTTGAATACGAGACAGTAACTCGAATAGTAGGAAAGTAACTGTGGGTGTTGCCGAGAGGTATTTACTCTCAGCTTTTGACAAGGGAGGTACCCTAGGGACTACCACCTCTGCTCTTCCTAGGGACTCCCACCTTTAAATCTTCCCGCAAAGAAATTGTAGAGTACCAGTTTTTGAAAATCTAAATGTTACTTAGCAGGCAGTTATGACAGAACGGGTTCCATAAGTCCGGATTTGTGTATGTGTGTGTAAAGTTTCGACCGGATACTCTATTAACATAGTATGAAATTAAACATTTGTAATATATTAACCCAAAGAAATTGTAGGGTATCACTCAGAATTCAACGTTCTACGTTACTTACTTACTTAGCTGGCTTATGACAGAACGGTTGTTCCATAAGCTGAGCTTGAACAAGATTTCCAGGTGCGTCGGTCTTGTACGCAACTCATCCACTTTTAAATACCCTTTTCCAAGATGTTGTCTTCTACTTGATCTTTCCGTCGGATTCGCGGCATTGCCGCAGACGCAGACATGGCTTTGAACACCTCTGAACGGATAGGGCTGTCGAATGCGGCTTTATTGCCGACGAAGAGGTGGAATGTGTCGATATGTTTTTCGTGGGGTTTTATTCAGAATCTGGAGCAGACTGAAAATCTGGTCAATGCTAGGTCTGAAGCCGCATTGGTATGATCCAATAATGTCCATTTGACCATTGGCTTCAGTCGTTCACACAGCACGCTGGATAACACTTTAACTGCTGACATTGTACCAGTTGAAGTTATATCCGTATTAATTGTGCAGGAATGCCAAACGCAGACATGGCTTTAAACACCTCTGAACGGATAGGGCTGTCGAATGTCGAATCATCAGGCGTGCATTCCTCTAGCCAAATTGTAGAAATGAGCTGGTGCATGCTCCTCTTGAATAATTCGGCTGATAGTCCATCGGCACTTGCTGCTTTATTGAGGTCTACTCCGACCTCATCTCGGCTCTTATTGGTTCTGGGGTATCTTCTTGATCGCCACTATTTGATACCAAAAGCTTATCAAAGTGCTCCTTCCAGATTTCCATCTTCATCTCTACAGAAGGATGTGACCGCGCCAAAGCCATCGGTTTGGTGTTTTACCCGTTGGTAAAATGTTCGGACTTCATTCTGACTCCTGTACATCTCGATTTGCTCACACTAACGTTTTTCTTGTTCTTTCTTCTTTTTTCGGAAAACACGTTTCTCCTTTCTCTCCTTTTCTCCCGATACGGATTATAGCAATTCGCTCATCTACTGGAATGAATCTCCTATTAACCATAAATCCGCACCCAAATTCACGTGTCGTTTCATGACAGCTATAATACAGGGCGAAATCATCTGATTTACTTACGCCAGACCCTTTCCATCGCATTTCCTGTAAGGTAATAATATCGGCTTTGTACTTCTTGAGTACAGCCGCCAAGGCGAAAATTGCGCCTGTACATCATGCACACATTCCAAGTGAAGATTCGCAGATCGTGGTCCTTTATACGTTTGCGGGGGTCGTCAACATTGGGGGGGTTTTGTTTTCTTTTTCGTTGCTTTTTCATAGTAAGAGGGGTTTTCCGAGTGTGGGCAACTATCCCGACGCCTCTTATTTCAATGGATGATGAACTTTTCAAAGTCACAACACAACACATGGTGGTACGTCAAACCTTATTGAGCGTCGACAACAATTTAATTCAAATCTGTAAATCTTTAAAATTATCTCACGAAAATGTTCACGAGTTAATTACATTGTGTTGGCAAATAAATTTTTTCAAAGTCACAACACATTGTGGTACGTCATACCGTACTCAGTGTCGACCACAACTGAATGCAGTAAAGTTGTGAAATTTTCTCACTGTCATGCTTTCAAATTATTTTTCAAAGTCACAACACAACGTCAAACCGTATTGAGCGTCGGCCACAATTAAATTTAATAAAAATTATCTCACAAAAATATTCAGGTCTTAATTACAATACGTTGGTAAATCAATTTTCCAAAATCCCTGCCAACAACACACCACATGGTGGTACGTCAAACCGATGCTACAAATGTCAATTTTTGAATTGTCAGATTTCTCCCAAAAGATTCCCAAAGATTTCTCATCGCAGTATCCGGGTAGTGTCTTTGGAAATTTCCAAATTTCGGGTTTTAATCGGTCAAATCCTTGGTGTACCTCCTCCAGATATTGGTCAATAGTATCATATGAACGAAGTATCCGATTTGACCTAAGCGTTTCACAATCTAATATGTTTACCAAACCCCTTAAATACCCGCTTACATTTCGAAATTTATTTAAAAAAACCAGACAACCAAAACTATATAAATGTGGAACACCCTTTTCTTATTATAAAATTAGTTGTTAATGCAATTTAGCAAACACAAAACATGGCAATGAAAAGTGAAATTAAATGAACGTATGTATGTGTGAGTGTCAATGTGTGCGTACGAATGAATGTGAGTGAGTGACTGAGTGAATTCTCTTACAAATTAACAGCACTTAAGATGAAAAACAAATAATTTTATATTCGTATTGAAAGAAAACTGCAATAAAAGCAACAAAAGTGAAAGCTTTTCAAAAATTGCTCACAGCCGTCAAGAAGAGGAAAAAGGAGGGTATTTTTATATCATCACTTCAACATTTAGTATCTACATTCATACATATGAACATCAATAGATTGTGCTACATATTATAGCAAACAACAAATTCAACTACAACTCATGCTATAATAACAAATAACAACAACAAATAATAATAATGGAAATATATATTACATACATACATATGTAGTGTAATAGGTATATTAGTACATACATAATATATGTACATTTATGTGTCCGTGTCTATGCGTATGTGTATGTAAAAATATAGTCATATTTTGTCAAGAACACCAGACAGAAACTAAAAACTGTAACAGTTAACTACGAGAGCACTTGAAACTGCTTTTGGCTAAATAACAAAAATGAACATTTCAACATATATATAGCTACTCAAACAATAGGATATTATATGTATATTATATATTTGTTTCTCTCTATCTATCTCTATTATATGAATTTAATTAAATTTTATTTACGTACAAATCTATATACAACATTTATACACGGAGTAAAATAGATGGAAATGAAATCAATATTTATGAATGAGAATTAAAAAAAAAACAAAATAGTTTTATTTGTAGTTAAAAAAAAATAATAACAATTTTAGAAATAAAAGATCAACAATTTAAACGTCAGAGAAGAGAATATCTAAAAAATTTAGAAATCAAATATAGGAAAATTAAGAATAAATTAAATTGTATTAATCACAAATGTAGGTCTGATATTCTTAAAAAAAAAATAAATAAAAACGAAATAGTATCTAAATTAAATTAAAATAATGAAAAAATTGGCTCTGAAATGACTAATGACTTTCAAAATACATTTTAACCCCCTTTCGCACAGAGGAGCGTATCAAAAATTCTATATATAATCGAAAGGGGCAGACAATATGATGCCCTTGTACTTGACAATACAACTCTACCTTTCTACGGATCTATATTCCGAACCTGGGAATTATTTCATGATATCTGCGCTCTCTTGACCGATTAGAGGTCAACAGATTATCTTTCATATGTTCCCTGTCATAATTTCCGAATCTTGTTTTTCCGCGGCAAATATTTGCATTCTAGAATTTTGTCATTTTGTACAGCACGGTGAGCGCCGGTTTAATTGGCCGGCTGAATTTTTACCGACAATTATCAAAACAGTCCTTCCAGTTAATTGACCAAAATGTGTTGTGATGTTCGGCTTGTAATTGTGGCTTCTATAGCAAACTAAATAAACATATAAAAATAAAGTTCTCGGTCCGATATCAGCGCGATATTTACGACCTCTAATGTGGTAATGAAAATATTTAACAATGTCAAAATACTGGATCTACGTATTAAATGTTTACGCTGATACATCATAATAATTGGAATCAATTTAAAGGTCAACGACTCCTCGTAGATATACTGTCAACTTCTCCGGTCTATTTTATCCAGGGGTAAATTTATACGCCCTTTTGTCATTTTCACACAAAAATATAAAAGCCACACTTGTTCTTTGGTCAGATAATTTGTAGCCTCTAGAGCGTCCAAAAATATAGCGGTTGGTCAATTATATAGGGGGTATCTTTGGTCAGAAACTGACCTATATGCAAAATTTCGTGAAGATTAGTCCATAACTGCGGCCCGTATTGTTCTTACAATTTATAATGGACAGACGGACGACCACACATGGCTAGATTGACTCAGCTAGTCGAGATATGACGGTCGGTATACTAAGGGATGGGTCTAGGCCCAATATTTAGTGGCGTTACAAACACCTGGGGCCACACAAAGCTATAATACACTTACAACATAGTTGTGTAGGTATAATTGAAAATAATATGACTACGATTCGGACCCCCTCGTAGTACTGATTTAAGACCTTTAAAGAAAAATCACCCATAAAGGTTTCAAACAAATTGAAAGACTTCCACAATAAACCATTAAACCTACTTTCATCAAAGTACAGGGTTGCCCATATTCGACGGACCCATGTTTTTTTTTTTTTTTTTTTTTTTATTGCTCATCATCTTCGGCCATTTCGATGACTCTTTGGGCCCATTCCAATCGACGAGGCTTGTCCGCAGGCAACATTCTTTGCGTCAATTGAATTTTGTGCGGGAACAAATGCAAATCAATGCGAATAATCCGTTGTAAAGTGGACCGAGCCATGCCCAACTGCTGAGAACGGCGTTTTTGGTATGTTCTTGGGGACCTCTCAACACTAGCTCGTACGGCAGCGATATTCTCGGCCGATCGCCTTGGTCGACTTTTATATGGCCTCTTCGAATTAGAAAGAGCCTTACCATTCGAAAATTTTTCGTATAAACGCTTAATGGTGTTCTTAGAAGGCGCACTTCTCACATTTTTTAATGTTTTAAAAGCACGTTGAGTTTTCACAAATGACTTCTTCTGTTGAATGCAAATTTCAACTATTTCAGAGAGCTCGCGTGGCGTGTATTGGTTCATGGTAAAAATCTGCTTGGACTGACGCTTCAAATGCGGGATGTCATTACGCGATGTGACATCTCTGTCAAAAGTTATGGCGTTCCCAGATGGGTCCGTCGAATATGGGCAACCCTGTAAGTAATTGTGTCCTACGTCAGAGCTGTATGGCGGATAATCTATGAATTCCAAGTTGTGGCCCTTTAAAAATCCCTGGCTGGAGCTGATAGGTTCCCACACTTCCATTGTCATATTCAACAATGATTCGTCTTCTCTTGTAAGTTTTTCAGATTACTCCGAAAACTTCAACAAACATATTGTGGTGTACCATTCAGAATAGGCTTTGAAGTGCTTCTCCCGCGAACATCTTTCTTCGGAGACCCACACCGTCGATTGTTGTTATGTTTCGGGTACATACGCAGAGATCCTTAATTCGTAACCTATGACGAATTTATAAACGCCCTTCGAAGCACAGCGATCGTACTTTACATTGTTTTGCACCAATCGACCCAAGCCTTTATTTAAGCAATTGTCTAGATGTGCGAGATCTATAGAGAATTTTTCAGGTCTTTACCAGATCAATATCGGTATTATTCAAGAATAAATACCAAACCTAGGGATAGATACTAGGTATGTCACACGGTATCAAAACAGCAATAGGATGGACCTTCATTGTCATACAACGGTATAAGTTCATCGATACAAAACACATGATCGTACGTCAAACCATATTTCGTACAATTAATCTAAAAATGTCAATCATTCCAATGACATCTAACAATTAATGTTGAGAATCGTTGTATAAAACAAAACTTCTTAAAAATTTTAGGAATGGAAAATCAAACCATTCTTGAAAATATTTTGAAATGATCTATGGAGAATCTTCAGTCTGTAGAAGAATTCTAGGGGTTATTCTATAGATAGAATATGAGGGTTTTTTTATTTATAGATCTGAAGATAATCAAATAAATGCCAAATAATCGATTCAGAACTGTGATATAATTTTTTTTTATAAAAAACGCTATAGAACTGAGGTCTTATTAAAAAAACAGAAATAAGAGCACAGGTTCGGTTTATTACATGAACAAAGATTTCCCAAAAATTAAAAAAACTCATAAAAATCAAAAGCTATTTCTTGGAAGTAGTATTGAAAATCCTTCGCAATATATAAATGTTGCAATTCATCGATCTCAATTATCCACATATATGATTTTATTTCCATTTAGAAATCGACACTCCGTGTATAAATATTTTTATTTTATTATTTAAAAATTTATATTTTTACTTTACAACTTGAGCTATAACTTAATAACAAATGCCAGTGCCACCTAAGCTGCTGGCCAAGGAATCAAAGACACAAAGGCTTTATCAGCAGTATATGCCAGAGCTTTATAACAAAAAAACAAAAACAACACCAATCTATTTTTTAACTACTGCCCATATGAACAAACAGTAGCCTTTAATCTTTAAGTACAAAACAAATTCATAGATTGTAATACAAAATTGAGGTTAGATTTTTATAGTTAACCAAAAAAACAGGGCTAGGAAAGATTTCCACACAGATAAAAAGTTAAATTAAAAACAAACTTTCGAAAATCTGAATGAGACTATTAAATAAGTAAATTATTATTAATCATTATAATTTATATATATATAATTCACACATTTTTTACAAAACCCTAAAAAACAAAATTCTATTAAATAAATAGTTAATAGTCTCATTTGTAATTTTGTTTTAAGGTTATAAGATAACAAAAAAACAAACAATTCTTAATACCATTTCAAATCAATTCAATGAATTATTTCTTTTTCTTTTGTTTACGGCCATGCCTCTTTTTTAACAACGATACTAACTACTCAATAATAAAAATAAAACCCAAAACAAAAAAATATTCAAATGAACGAACGCCAATTTAAACAAAAAAATTGTTCAACCAACCACAAAACACCATTTGAAATTTCTACTTCATGCCCCCACCACCACCACTACCAACCATTCAACTATCTATCCACAATCCTGTAAATATAAATAATCAAACCAAAAAAATATTATCAATCAATCACAAAAATTACCACCACCATCCATCCGGACCGATCGAATATAAAATTTACAACTACAACAACAAAAACATATCACATTGAATGCGTTATCAACCAATTGAAATCAAAATCAAAAACAAAACAAATCAAACAAATTATTGAAAACCCCCACCCGAACTTGAAACAAAACTTACAAAAGTCGGCTATACGATGCGTGACATTCGCTATAAGTGGAATGAAGGACCGAACTCGGTTGGTGTCTCGAGTGAGGTCTCGCTACCGCAATTTAAGGTCTTGGGTCATCGTCAGAGAGCTATGGAAATCAGTCTTACCACAGGTACCTGTAGACGGTTACCGAATTCTTTTTCTCCTATATATTTATATTATTATAAACATATATATCCATATTTATATATTAACAAAACCAATTAATAATAATCTTTATATATATTAAAAATTAATTATTCAATTATCTCCTTCTTATTTATTTACTTTACTTTACTCTGTTACTGTTCTACTTTTATTTTATTTTCTTAAACTTACTTTTCTCCCGTTTTTGCTAGACTATATTTTTCCATATTTAATTTCTAAATTTGATCTACTAAGCTATCCGTACTATTTGAGCATTAAAAATTTATTTGTTATTGAGAAAGCTAAAAAAATTATTTAAAAAAAGTTTTTTTTTATATATCAAAGAAAATGCTAACCGAGAAAACATGCTTTAATTGACTCAATGAAACAGTTCGATTTTGCTACGATGGCAGGGATAAAATTGACGCGCAATGGAAATGAATGCACAAAAAACACAGCTACTTTGACTGAAAATGAGCCTAAAAAAAACATTTAGTGATACCATAATGGAAGTCCAAATTGGACATTTTTTAACAGGTTCTCTGATTTTTTATGTTTGGACTTATTTCAAGACCGATATATGCCTTTTTTTCAATTTCGAACAACTAAGGAGTAATGATAATCGTTGAATAAATCCATTACTGTTTTAAGGGAAATAATGTTCAGAAGACCAGTTTCGCATCTATATAATAGAACATTCACAGAAGGACATAACATAAGGAGGCCATTATAATTAGTCTTATAAGATTTGGGTAATTTTTCTCTGAAACGATCTACGGATCTTCTAAGAGGAAACCTCAAGTCATACAAATTATGCCGTTCTGGTTTTCTAAAAGCTGACCAATATGTCTTCTATTAGACTTTCACCACCTCTACAATCAAACCTTGCAGATCTCTGTAAGAATACTTTAAAACTTTCTTTGGAAAGCAACTATTTATCTTCTAGAAGAAGATTTAAGACCTATAAATCTTCTTCTAGACAACAGCCAGGTCTTCTACGAAAAGGTTTCTATAAGAAGTCCTTTCAGTGTTCTAAGAGAAGAGATTTCACATAAGATGAGCGCATGAACTACTATAAGAATTACTTTTTTGTAATCTTTAAAAATGCCTACAGCAGGTATTCTATAAAAAAGACCTAATTGCCTTGTATGAGACGATCCATTTGTGTTCCTACTGTGCTGCCAGAAGAAGACTTCTGGGCTTTCATATGAAAATCTTCATATATTCAATAAAACGAATAACTTTCTTCTATTAAAAGGCATATTTGTCGTCTGTGAAAAAAATTTCTGGACTTCCATGACACAACCTACGGCCTTTATTAAGAAAAGTCATACTGACATTCAATGAGATAACTTACTAGGCCTTCTCTAATAAAATAAGAACATATTTTAATCAAACACACGATACCCTACAGAAATACTGCGTAACACTAACTTTTTGCAGATCTATATTCCGCGCCTGGGAAACATTTCGCTACCTTTCGAACAATTATAGGACAACAGCGCAACTTTTTAACCGTGACATGGTTTGAAATTTTCTTTTCCCAAGGTCATATTTACGCCATAAAATAAAAATCTGGTCACTTTAGGTGACCGTTGCAAGTATTTGGACAGATCCCTTCACCGTGTACAATATGTAACGTTCTGCATATAATAATGGCCTCTTAGAGCGACTGGAAAATCTGACAAAAAATAAAGTTTTCGATATATGGCACCTCCTCAATATGATCTCAGCATCAACGAAAATTATCGGCGTCGTCCTTGTCCAAAATCGGAACATCATATTAAATTTCAATACTACACAATATCAGATTACGTAGACCCATGTAAATATTTAAGTGTATCTCCCACATCCGAGTTCATACAACAATATAATTGATATCAATTTAAAGTTCAACCTCCCCTCTTGGATATACTATTAATTTATTGGGTGTATGTCCTTTAGGACATATTAATGGACGTGTATTCCTGAATACATATTTTGCCATTTTTTACACAAAAAAAATAAAGTTTTGGTCCATTTCATCCCCTAAATATTAACAGATCATTGCCAAAAACAGTAACGGGTCCTCTTTGGCCGGAATCCGTCATACATTAAAAATTTCGTGAATATTAGTCCATAACTGTGGACTGTATCGTGTTTGCAAATCATAATGGACATACAGAGGCCACACAGCGGGCACACATTTTTAGGGCTGCACAAAGCTATAATAGCTTGACAACCATACTTTTGGTGGGTATAATGCCATTATTTCGCGACTTCTAAAACTCCTTCCATATAGACAAAAATAAAGTTTTTTTCATCCCTCAACATTAACGGATCATTGTGCCAAAAATATAATCTTCATGAAAACTTGGGCCTTCCATGTAGATTTATTTCTAAATCCGATCCATGCCCAAGTGAAAGTTTGTCCTCCACCACAAGGGGGGCATTAAAAATATCAAACATAAATCAAGGCCCTTATATGGGGCCTATGTCAAAACATAAATCCAAAAGTAGTATATAAAAAAATACGGAGAAAAAAACAAGTTGGATAATGCGGCTACGACCGTCAGTATACTCAAAAGACGAGGACATTTAGATAGAAGTTATATCAGAAGATAATATATTATTTTATTATTGGTTGTAAAATGTACATATGACCATAAAAATATCTAATATGAGGTGAGACCTTGGTATGGGGGGCTATATAATTGTATGGACCCATATAGTACGTTTTTTGCAAAGAACCTGAAAAAGCATATTATTGGGTATACATTGCGGTTATATCAATAACTGAACCGATATATACCAATTATCCAAAAGTATTAGATTTCCCTACAAATTCCGGGAAATTCTCTGCCAAGAAGTTTTTGCATTATATGCTTTTCAAGTTCTTAATGAGCTCCTGCGTTGTAAAAATCCTGGCTAATTGCCGTAACAAAATCTACTGTCATTGAGTTAATAATATTAAGCAACTATTTTCTAATTTTAATTTTTCTCAATTTTTTAATTTTCTTCTCTCTCTCTACATTTATCAGCTAATCATTGCTAATAAATTATACCAGATATTAAGCATGTTTTGTAACTTAAATATCATTTTCATTTCTCAGTCATTAAAACGAAACATCTACTAATGCTATCGTATTTAAAAAAATAGTAAATAGTAAATCCGTGGTAATTATATTAGTTGTAATTTTGAAGACCATGCTAGTGAACTAAAAACGAAATAGTTTTTTAGAAGTAAAATTCAAATAGCAGTGACTCTAGCTTTCTCGAACTTTAGTCGACAGATATCTAATCATTTGTTCGAGGAAATAAAAAAATTGAGTGAGTCAAATGGATGTGAATAATTAGAAAAAAATTATTTTAGAATAAATTAAATCTACTGGAAATTGAAAATTAAAAAAAAAAACTCGTCGGAGTTGATATAACGGGGGCTATGTAAAACCCTAAACCTATATTGATAATCTAAAATTCCAGAAATCAATAATCAAACATAACATACAAATTTTAAATCGTCCTCTTAGTCCCTTATATTGGTTCTGTACCGCATCATAAACCTCTATTGAATAACTTCTGGCAGGGGTCATTAATCCTTTGAAACCCCGACATGTATAATTACATACAGAAAGATTGGAGAATTCGATTAGGACATTTTAAATACCCGTAATCTAAGGAAGCCTTTGCATGGGAGCTAGACTAAAATGTGAGGTAGAACAGGACAAAAACTGAAAATAACAAATTAAAGCCACTTCGGTTGGAAAACTGCATATTATATTTGCCAATTTTCAAAATATTGACCCCTGTTTGTGGGGAAAGTTAATAATAAGAACTAGGTACTAGAAATGAAAATATAGGCAACATACCAAAAAGTGGACCTATACCGACATTTCAAAAAACGGATTATGTAAACCATAATGTTAACCATAATACATATTTCAGAATTTTTTAATGGATAATTATACCCTCAGCTAATGAGGGTGTATACACTTTAACACGGTGAAAATGTGCCTCATCGAAATATTGGTTCTAGACTGGTTCTGTTTCTTTGGACCAAATCCGTTTCAGAAAATTTACATTTCATCCAAACTTTCATCCAAACATCTTATTTTCCCAAACTTAGTTAAAATTCGAAGATGGTTAATATCGGTCTACTCTCTCTGGAAACTCCACACAGGGGATATGTCTAAATGCGGATAAAGTTCATTAACGAACCTTACGATCTAAATTTTTATCACGCTATCCTCCGCAGGTGAAATGATTACAACAGAGTCTTAGAACCAAACTCAAAACGCGGAACAAATCAGATAACTATTTTAATATAAAAAGGGTGTTATATGGGGACTACCTTCAAAAAGAGGGTGAATATTAATAATTTTTGGTAAGGAGATTTGTTACCATATACGACTACAAAATATCTAACTGCAGCAAATTCGGTTGAAAAACGCGCTCAAGAACCCCAAAATACAAAAAAAATTGGGTGTACCCTTATATGGCGGCTATCCGAAAAAATGGACCTATATTCATATTTTTTTTTTTTTTTTGTGGGGAGATTCGGTACCTATTAAGAACTCAAAATACTAAAATACAGCTAATTCTTACGAAAAAGAACCTTGAAAATTGTATTATATAAAAAATGGACATATTCAAATTTTTTGTGGAGAGATTGTGATAGTAAAATACTAATTCGGCGGAAAAATACGATCAAACCTCCAAAAATACTGAAAATTAGGAGGTACCGTTATATGGGGGATATTAGAAAAAGTGGACCTATATTTGTAATTTTTTGTGGAGACATTTAGTACCCAATAAGAACCCAATGTACCAAATTTCAGCGTATTCGGTTGAAAAACGCGCTCAAGAAAATACCGAAAATTGGGGGGTACCGTTATATGGGAGCTGTGCCTAAACGTGGATCGATAAAGCCCATCTTCGAACTTGACCTGCCTGCAGAAAAAAGACGACTCTATGCAAAATTTTGGCGATCTGTCTCAATTCGTTTAGACACAATTTTGGGTTCACGGATAGACGGACATGTTTAAATCGTTATAGAATTTTACCCTGATCAAGAATATATATACTTTATAGGGTCGGAACTAATATATCCTCCATACTATGGTGGAGTGTATAAAAATATTAGGATGAGCAAAATTTCGATCTAACCGGTCACTCCCTTCGTCTAATTATCAAAGGTTTAATCAGTAATTCCTTGTTACAAATTATATAATATTACAAAAAAAAAACTAAAAAGGTAGGATATTACACATCCACTACTCACTGCTAAAACAATTCCAATAAAATGATTAGAATATCTAGTCCTTAGATTTTAGTTAGGAGGAATGCATTTTCTTTGTAACCTCAATCGAAATTTTTATTTAGCATGCTAAAAAGTCCATTCATTGTTCAATTATTAAATTATAATCATTTCTAAATAATAAAAAAAATACATTCATTCATTTACGCCCCCATTGTGTTAAATGTTTAGTTTAAAATTATTGTTTTTATTTTCAATATCATCAAAAGAAAATCGAAAAAAAAACAAACAAGAAATGACACCAAATGAAAATCAACAAGAAAAACACATCAACTCCAAAATTCCATTCAAAAAAGTAGTATTGAGATCATATCGAAAAGAATGTATAAAAACATTAATCAACAATTGAAATCATAACAATTAATTTTAGTTTATACATCAAACAACAACAACAACAAAACCTAGCTTGAATTATTAATCACTTAGTAAAAAAAGCAATATCTTTACTATCGAAATATTAACAAATCATTAATTCATATATCATTAATCTATGAAAATTAGTTCAACTAGCTACATACATACAAACATAAAGTAACTTGTAACTTATTCATTGTTATTTGCCTATCATCATTTTGTATTGAAAATATCTAATAAGTAATTTAGTGACATTAGCAACAACAATTAATTCATGGTATCATCATCTAGTCCTTACCCTCTTGTGTCAGGAATACAAACAAAAAAACGCAAATCAAATGGAAACAGGAAATCATCGTATCGTATCAATACATTACCCAAAACCCAAAAAAACATCGAAACGCCCTCCCAAGCATGCACTCATCTACTTTTCTAGACAATCAACTTTTGTACTCGGCTCTCTTTCCGCTAAAAAAAACACAAAGTTTTCTTTCTGCCTTTGGCTTTTGTCCATCTCTGGAGCAAAGCTCTTTTTGTAACACCGTTGTGATAATGCAAATCGCCCAGTAATTTAAATAAAAAAACAACAACATCGCTGTCATTAACATACATACCTCGTACCCATTAACAACAATAACAATAATTATCTATGCTACAAATTCTGATATGAATTTATGTTGAATATTTAGATATTCTGATTTTTTAGTTTATTTTTGAAGCACAATTATTTATGATCAGTTTTGTTGAAATGTTTTTTATAATTGTTTTATTGTTTGTAATATTGTTGTCAACCAAGGTCAATTTTGCACTACCAATATACATATGAAATATAATAATAAATTAAATTGAAAAAATAACAAACTATATGAAAAAATCACATCATATAAACAGAAGTAGTTATTGTCTGAAATTAACAATTGCCAATTTTATAAAAAAATATCTTAAAAAAGCCTTATTTTATGTACTTATTTTTATTTTTGAAAACTCCATGTTTGTACGGGCTCTTGACATTTTCAAAGCTCCACGCCTACAAAATCTTATCCAAAAATATTTTTAAAAAATTCGCGCCTAAAGCGGCTTTTCAAAATAATGTCCAGGACTGTAGAACTTCTTGACAAATATTTTTAAAAAATCTGCAACTTAAGCGGTATTTTGAAATAATATCCAGGCCTATATAACTTCTACTATTGTTAGGAATTACTAGCCTATAGGTTGAAAATATATTTTAAAAAATCCACTATAAAACTATTAAACTTCCTAAACAAATATTGTAAATATCCAAGCTAATTGATTCATGCCTATAGAGGCTTCATAAAAAATATTTTTAAAAAATTCAATAAAGGCTTCTTAAAAAAATATTTAAAACCAGTGAACGGAGCAGTATAGCAGGACGGGACCGACCATACACCTACACAACTACCACGAAAATCTAACTTTCAGCTGCTTCTTATTTTGAGACTGAGCCATATTTCGCGATATTTGCATCCTCTTGAGCGATTATAGGTCAACAGCTTCACTTTCTAACCCTGGAATATTTTCCAAATTTTGTTTTCCCGAGATGAAAACATAAAATTAAAAGTTGGTCACTTTGGGTTTTCGTTGATTTGACCCTGCAAATACTGACGATCATCGTCTAAACAGCCGTTTGGTCAGATCCCCTTCACCACGTAAAATGTGTGACGTTCTGAGTATAATAATGGCCTCTAGAGCGACTAGAAAATACGACAGAAATAACTGTGGCCTGTTTCGTGTTTTCAAATTAAAATAGACAGACGGTCGGACATACATGTCTAGATCGACTCAGCTAGCCGAGATATGACGATCGGTACAATTAAAGGTAGGACCAATATTTCGCAGCGTTGGGGCTGCAAAAAGCTAAAAAAATATTTTTTAAAAATCCACACTAATTGAGGCTACTTCCTTAAAAAATATTTTTTTTAATCCACGCCTTTAGAGGCTACCTAAAAAAATATTTTTTAAAAATCCACGCCTTTAGAGGCTACCTAAAAAAATATTTTTTAAAAATCCACGCCTTTAGAGGCTACCTAAAAAAATATTTTTTAAAAATCCACGCCTTTAGAGGCTACCTAAAAAAAAATATTTTTAAAAGTCCTTTTGAGAGCCCTGTTAAAAATCCACGCCTTTTACTTATAACAATATTTTTTAAAATCCACGCCTTTAGAGGTTACCTAAAAAAATATTTTTAAAACACCCACGCCTTTAGAGGCTTCCGAAACAAATATATATTTTTTAAAAATCCTCGCCCTATTAAAAAAACCCTCGCCTAAGGAGGCCTCCTGAAAAAATATTTTTAAAAAATCCACGCCTTCCTCAGAGGCTTCTTGAAAAAATCCACGCCCATATGTCGTCATTGAAAAAATATTTTTAAAAATCCAGTTCTACAGAACTTCTTGAATAATATTTTTAAAAACTCAATACTACTGAACTTCACGGCTATAGGTGGACTTTTCAAAAAATATTTTTAAACAAATTCACGGCTATAGCTGGACCTTGCAAAAATATTTTTAAAAAATCCACGGTCCTTGAAAAAAATATTTTAAAAAATAAGAAATAATTTTAAAAAATCCTAGGTGGATCTTGAGAAATATTTTCCAAAACTCCACGCCTTTGGTAGGACTTTGAAAAACATTTATTTTAATACACACCTTTAGGAGGACATTGAGAATTTTTTCAAAAATTCCATGTCAATAGGAGAAACTTGAAAACATATTTTCAACAATTTCACGCCTATAGGAGGACCCTCAAAAAATATTTAAAAAAATCCACACCCTGAGATGGACTTCAAAAAATATTTTTAAAAATGCACGCCTTGAGGTGGACTTCAAAAATTTTTTTTAAATCAGCGCTTTGATGTGGCGTAAAGAGGCTCTTCGAAAAATATTTTGGAAGTACTTTGCAAATACATCTGACCTTTGTTGACAAGAAAGAAATTATTTTTTTTATATAATTTTAATTTAAATATTTTTTCATGGAATTGATATCTAAGTGGCTTGAATATAAATCATAACAGTGGCTATCAAATACGACAGGCATTTTGTGAATTTTTGTGGCTTCTTTTGTTCCGCTGTTTATGTAGCCGCAAAGCCTAGCCTTTTTATTTTATTTAATTTTATTTATTTATTTATTTATTTATTTTTTTTTTGTATTTTTATAAAAATTCGCACATCAGTATTTTTTTGGTATTCTTTGTTGTAACCACATTGCCACCTCACTAAAATATTAATCATTACAAAATTAGTATTAAATAGTTTCATTTTTGTTTTTTCATTTGTATCAAAAATGTTTTGATGTTTTGCACAAAAATGAAAAATTAAAATTTGTTTCTGTTAAGCTTTCTCATTAGCTCATTTGTTGATTTGTTTGAAAAGTAAATTTTATTAATTTGTTTCTAATTTAATGCAAAATAAGTATTTACTAACATTTGTGTGTTTGTATGAGTGTTACAACTACTACTACTAATGCCTAAAACTTGATAATCTCCTTTATAAAAATAAACCCTAATATTTTTTTTCATTAAACCTTTTTTTAATTTTTTTATTTATTTTTTTTAATTCAAATATATTACTTTGTATGGTTTTCTTTTTTTCTAAAAAATAAAATTGTCTTATCAAAAAAAAACAAATATACAGTGAATTTGTTTAAGAAAATTCCTTGTAATAACATAAACATTATTTCTACTCTACTTTTTTTTGGCTACAAACTTCAAACCAAATAAAAAATCACGGCGTTTTGTGTACTGGATTTTGTTTGATACAAAAATAACACAAACATAACAATGAATCAAACATATTTGGATACAACCCTGCTACGACCCTCCTCACCCTTGTCTGCCACAACGATGTCGGGTGTTTAATGTCTGATGTTTGATGTCTGCTGGATATGGAATTTTAAAAAAAACGAAAAACAAAAACCAAAAAACCCCCAATTGGATTATTTGCAACAAAATTATTATTAACAAACAAACAACAACTACAACAAAAAATAATATTAACAACAAACAGGAAATTATTCGCGTTTGGCTTGCGAGATACAATTTGTGCGCTCTATGGGCTATTATCTTATACAAATTTATATACCCTCTGGACTGATCGTTATTATATCATGGGTATCATTTTGGCTTAATCGTAATGCTACACCAGCCCGTGTAGCTTTAGGTGTCACCACTGTGTTGACCATGACAACTTTGATGTCATCGACAAATGCTGCGCTGCCGAAAATTTCATATGTCAAATCGATTGACGTCTATCTAGGAACATGTTTCGTGATGGTCTTTGCCAGTTTATTGGGTAAACAAAACAAAACAGAAATCTATTTTGACTACTTTTTTCTAACTTTTATTTTTTACTTTAACTGTACATGTTTAACGTTCTATATGTGTATAACCATTTTGAGTTTTCAAAAACTAAAAACAAAAGATATTTTTTATTTGTTATTTTAATTTAACACTACTGTACATTTTTTGTGTTTTATTTTATTTTTGTATTATGTCGGTGTACATTTTGTAGAATATTTATAAACAACTGAACGGACGAACGAACGAACGAAACAAAAAATATTTGACGTACAAAAAAAAATTGAGCAGTTCGTCTATGGTTGAGTAGAATCCTGTTGAAGAATTTTTAAAACTACAGGATTTTTATGAAATTAATTAGACGTAGATGCTCAATTTTACATAGACAACAACAAACAATAACAACCACTCTCACCACTACCACTACTACTACTACCACCACTATGAACTAAACACTCCAACTCTAGCTCTTTTTCTTCCACTATTTCTAAACTTTACAAAAGAAACTTGGCAAATTTATGTGTTCCGAACGCAATATTTGCTGGTTTCGAATATTTGTTTTATACACCAATCTAATTAATTACACATACACACAGAAATAAATAAACATAATTTTCAAAAAAAAAAAAAAGAACTTCAACCCAATGGAGGAGCCTAATCATATTAAGGCTTATTGCTGTACAATAACAACAAATAGTTTAAACGAATAACCAATATAAACAATTTTTTTTTTAATTTATAGTTTGAACAAATTTTAAGAGGTTAATTTTTCAACAATTATTTGGTAACCGGTTCAATTTGAATCCGTTAATCGGTTATCTATTGAACACGTAAAATATCTATTTAATTTGGGTATTCTATTACGTTGCAGACGTGAACCTAGTAATCGATTACCAAGTGATCGCGTAAACTATGTAATTTTAACAAATAATTAGAAGGGTAATCGGTAACCAAAAAATTTTTTTTTTATATATAGAACACATTAAAAGAAAAAATAGGTTGTATGACGCTAAACTATTCGATTTATTGTACCGAACCGGTTTAAAAAATAAAAAAGTAAGTTATGCAAAATCGTGAATATTTGGAAAGCACTTATTTTTAGTACTGACTCGTTCAATCGATAAATTTATTCCGGTTATCCAAAAAAAAAATTAAGTCTTATTTTTTTAAGTTGGACATTAATTATATTGACTTTTTCAAAATTACTTGAATGTAACCAGTATAAATTAAATGTAACAAGTTATTCTATTCTAATATTAATTTTGAGTCAAATATTTTATTGCCTTACCATTTTTAAAGAAATAATAATCGGTTCAGTTTGAAACGGCCAATTGGTTATCAAAAAATTTATTTTTCTTGTATTTTTTTAATATAAAGAAAAGCAGTGAGCGGGGCAGTATAGTCGGACGGGGCCGACCATATGATACCCTACACAATTTCCACGAAGAACAACCTTGACCGACTAGAGGTCAACAAATATAACTAATATTTAGTGCAGCCCTTCTAATTACTGGTCCAGATTTCCTTCACCGTGGGTTGTGTTATGATGTTCGGCTTTCAATTGTAGTTATAGATCGACTCGAAAAAACACAACAAATTAAGTTTTCAGTCCACTTCATCCCAATATTATTATCTGATCATTACCGAAAATTATAGGAGATGTTCTTGACCATACCTGGATCCTCAAAGCGATCAGCGCTATGTTTCCGCCCTCTAGTGTGATAATGGGTTACTAAAAAATATCTAAATACGTAAGCACCAGAAAATATTTAAGTGTAACTCCCACATCCGGGCACATATGACAATACAATTGGTATCAATTCAAAGGACAACCACTCCTCTTGGATAAAATATCAATTTCTCGGGTCCATTTGATCCGCTAAATATTGACCGATCTTTTTTTAAAACTGACATGCTTATTCTTTGTCCCGATCCCCTTCTCCATGTAAAATTTCGCAATGATGGGGCAATAACAATAATTGCGGCATCTCGAGCGACCAGAAAAACCGACAAAAAATTAGTATTGGGTCCATTTCATCCCCTAAATATTAACCGATCTTTAGCAAAAACAATAGGGGTCTTCATGGGCCAGAACCCATCCTACATGAAAAATTTCGTGAAGATTGATTCATAACTGTGGCCTGTATCGTGTTTACAAATTATAATAAACAGACGGACGGACGGACGGACACACATGTATAGATCGACTCAGCTAGTCGATATATGACGATCGGTATACTGAAAGGTGGGTCTAGGACCAATATTTCGCGGCGTTACAAACTCTTGGGGCTGTACAAAGCTATAATACCCTGACAACATAGTTGTTTAGGGTATAATTATTTTAAAGCTTATTTTTATGAGTTAGTGTCATATTGGACAGATTTCGAATCGGTTACCAAACAAATAATCTTTAATTTATTCTACCTGCATTGCAAGTAACCGGTTAATAGATAACTGTGTTCATATACAGAATTTTTTTTATAATTTTTAATCGATGTTTTTTCTGATAACGAATAATAAACATTTGATTATTTTAGAATCGGGTAATCGGTTACCAAAAAATATTAAGGACTTTTCTTCACACAGAAAATATTGATATAAAATTGAAGCTTATACTAAAGAGGTTAATTCATATTGAATCGGTTACCTGTACTACAGGTAACCGGTATTTATTAAATAAATTCATAAGTAAAACATTAGTTGATAGATAGTCGAATGACCGGGTAATCGGTTACCAAAAAAATATTAAGGATTTTTTCGCACAGAAAATATTGAAATAAAATTGAAGCTTATAACTAAGAGATAATATTGAATCGGTTACCTGTACTACAAGTAGCCGGTATTTATTAAATAAATTCATACAAATTCACACAAATAATATTAATAAGTTATCATTTTTTAACTAATAACAGAAAATCAGTATTTTTTAAATCGGGTAATCGGTTACTAATTCAATTATTATGACATTTGTTTAGTCTTAATTTTCAAAGAAAATTGTTTATTCTGGCTCAAGTCATTGAATACTAAAAAATGAAAAATGAATTGGTTAATCCACAACCAATTATTTTTAATCGCTATATTTTGTATTGCATAATCAGTTACACAATATTCGATTTTTTTTATTATTCGAATATAATAACATTACTTGTATGTATTACAAGTAACCGGTTATTATATTGAAATGAGTCGGTTATTCATGTCATTTTTTTCGAAATTATTAAATGTTGTAATTAAAAAAAAATAATAATTTTTTTACCCCTTGAACAAGTAACCGGTTACTTAAAAAAGAATTTTGAGGGGAGTTTGTGAAGTAATATTTGTTAACAAAAGTAATCGATTACTCCATTGACAAGTTATCGTAACAAAATAAGAATGGTTTAATTTCAAACATGTTGGTTATTCGTTTAATAGTGTATCACACAAACTAAGCTTTTTGCTAAACAAATTTATAATTAAAATTAAAACTAAAGAGCACTCCATTACAGACATAATATACACGGAGACCCACACATACACACACAACACACCAAAACATATACAACAACACGGAAAAAAATCTAACACTCTAAAAAAAGTTTTCTTAAGATCTTACAAGCCCGCAACAAAATTTCTTTTAAAAAATATTAAAATATTGGTCTTACACATCCAAATTTTTACGTTGGGCGCCAAGGTCCCTTTTTAAGAAAACTTTATGCCAGACAAAACAAAGAAACAAACAACACCACCACCCAACAGATTTTCTCAACACATTTATTAAAGATGCAAAACAACCAAGAAAAAGGCTTAACATCAAATGAACAGCAAACAAAAAAAAAGAACACTTTTCTTTAGCAAAAAAACAAATCTCTTTTTTCGTATTTGTTTCTTTTTTAAAAACAAACTAATAAAAAGAAACGTCCAAACACCATCATTCAAAGAAAATAAATACAAACTTATTGTTGTATGCGACATTCTGGATTTTTGAAAACAAAACGAAAACAAAAACTTATCAACAAAAAGAAAGAGTTACGGGCCATCACTGAATGTTTTACTCTAAAAACAACTATTTTTTTTTTAATTTAAAAATAACAAATTATGACCAACGCACACATACACCACAATGTCCCATATATATGGGAATATTGCCTTCAAACACACACTCGAGCAGCCATGGCACACGCCTCAAGCAGAGCAGCTTTCAACGAAAATGAAATAAAAAACATTTAGAATTTTTCGAAAACAAATGAAATTGCAAAAAAACCGATTCGCAACAGATAAGCCAACAGAGACAGACATCCGACTGTTAAGCAAAGTTAGATTATGACATGTTTTCCCCACACTGCCACACGAGCTGCAATAAGCAGATGTGGAGTGAATTTAATGAAAAACTTCAAACCCCTCCTGCAACGAGAACATAAAGTGGCCCAAAGCTTTTTTTGCTGTCTGCTTAAAAAAGGCTATGGATCAACTTTATGTTGAGCAAAAAAAAAAAAGAAATAATAAATGTGGGAAAATATGGCATAACCTGCAATGATACCCTGATATCATATACGCCCAGCTTCCGCCTATGACAAAAGAAAAAACAGAGCTAAGCATTAAAACCAACCAACTGCGTAAATAAGCCAAAGGGTAGTTCTACACTGCCAACAATCTCGTTTTCCGCTACTCCCCCAAATGTCCTCTATACCAAAAAGTCCCACTTGCTCACCCTTTCCCTCCGTCAACAAAAATACGTATTGCTATCAGGTATGTATTCCATTAAAAATAAAGCCAAGATCTCATGCGGAGTTCCAAGGATTTCCTAACACGAAATCAGCAGGCACTTGCACAAAGATCCTAGCTGCCATATCTTCTCCATTAGAAAAAAATAGAAAAAAACTCAATATTTTGCTTGCCACGCCATACACTTGCGTCACTCTAAAGAAATCTCTCAGAAAAAAAAACAAACAGTAAGTACATTTGCAAAAAACCAAAACAGACAACCATGTGATATATATACTCCAATAATATCACGTG